AGACGGCCCTCCGCTCTCACAACCCCTGGGAAGAATGCAGGACACTCTGGATTCGGAGCCTCCCTTGGGAGATGCGAATTCAGAAAAGGCCTGCAACTGCTCACCAGCCGGCTTGCCGACCCACACAGATGGGGGGGCCAGGAGCCGCCTTTCCCGCTGGAAGCAGACACAAGCCTTCTTCTCTCGGATCTGCTTACCTGCTGGGACCTGACCTCTGAGATGAGCCCGCTTTTAATCCCCAGAATGTCTGCACATTCTGGACAGTAAGGGAAGCGCCCCGGGCAGGGCAGGAAGCCCAAGGTGACCATGGATGAAGGACTCACCGCCCAAAGGCACGTGGCTTCGAACAGGCTCCCTAACCCTCTGGACGCACGCATCTTCACACGTGGAAGCTTTGATGGAGCCGTACCTGGAACGCTCTCCCACGTGAACATTCTGCGACTCTAGGAGCACAGCATCAGGGCGGCCTCTGGGCTCTGGAGAACGCGGCACCCCTCCCGGTACTCGTGCTGATAAGGGTCATGACGGAACACCTCTGCTTCGATAATTTTAACCTCTAATAATTCCTATAACTGTGAATATGGGCAGACCTAGCCAGAAAGTTCCCCATAAATAACACAAATAACATTGTTGAATGAACTGTGATTAGAAAATGCAGCAGCTGAGTCCAGAGGGTGATGCAGGGAATCTGCCGTCTCTCAGCTCAGATTCTCCTCTCGTCCCTGCGGAACAGGGGGCTCTGGGGCCCCGCTTTGTCAGGACAGAGTGTGAGGCCTCGGGGAGGGTGCCGGGGGCCTGGACCAGCCCCTAGGAGGTGGGAGACTTCTCACTCACATGTGGACAAGATGCCACATGTGTCCCAGAGCAGGTCTGAGGTACCTGAGGAGGGTGAAGGCAGAGGGATGGAAACTCAGGTCACTGCTCTGGGCCCAGGGAGGGGCTGCAGAGGTCACAGGGCAGGAGAGGGTCGTCATCGTCAGCGGGGCAACTGGGCTGTCTCCGTCCGCCCTCCCCCAGCCCCCCACATGGCCTCCCCCGAGCGTCCGCTACCTTCCCACCAGCTCCAGTCCCTCACGCTCTCCAGGGACATGGCCTTCTGACTCGGGTGGTCTTCTGAACGTCAGTCCAGGACCCCCTAACTCCCCAGCCTCCTCTGCCCAGCTGGAAGGACGTAACCCGATGGCCAGGCCCCAGGACATGGAAGGTTAAGGAACCTGACGATGCGTCTCTGTAATCAAAAGGAAACACTGCGCTTCATGACTTGAGACCCGCTGGGGGGTGCTCCCGGACCACCTCTCCTAGGACCTGGAAAAGTCTAGCACAATTCCTGCTTTGAAGTAGTGTCCCTCCTTTCTCATTGTTCTTCTGGCTTTTTCTTTTTCTTTCTCCCCTGCCCCACCCCCATCAGGTGTGTGCTCACTTGCCCATAGCTTATTTGAGTGTCTGAAAAAAACAGTAGGAACATAATCAGGGACAGATCTTGAAAGAATCCAGAGTTGTATCTCAATCGTATTTTTTAGCAACAATGCACTAAAACAAAACAGAACAGAACAAAACAAAAACAAAAAAAAACAGTGCTTGTAATTATAAAGTCGTAATCCGCAGAGTTCTAACCACCCCAAATTATAGTTGTGAAGGTGGAGAAGAAATGCCCTACGTTTTTGTTTAAGATTTTTTTTTTGTTTTCAAATTGTAACTATTGAGGATAAATTGTTTATAACAATATGAATCAAAGGAGATAAAATTCAAAGGCACAACATTTCAGAAAGCTCAGGTAGGTAGAAACGGAAAGGGCCCCTGGGCCCAGCCAGGGCGACCTCTGTACTCTGGGCCTGGACTCCTCCCTGGGAGCAGCTGGGCCAGGCCTCCCGCACACCCACCCAGCGTGACAAGTCCTACCCCACCCCAGGCCTCCCGCACACCCACCCAGCGTGACAAGTCCTACCCCACCCCAGGACAGGACCCCACCGGCCAGCGGCTCCGTCATGTGTCTGTTCCCTCGCAGCTCCGCAGGGCATGCGCTCGCGGCAGAAACCACAAAAAGGAAACTGAGGTTCTCGGGTCTCCTCCCGAAAGCCCTGTCTATATAGTTATGGTCTTTTCTGTAGCACAAGAACCTATACTTTAATATAATTTTCAGGTAAAATCCTTGTTTTCAGCACAAGCACATTGTCCCCGTCTGATAGAGCATGGGTCACGTGAAGAACTAGTCCAGTGGACTCTGAAGTTCCTGTGGTTGGACTTTCAGTTTTCGGACTGTCAGGTGCCACGTGGTTAACCCCAAATCGGCACCGAAAACTCTGGCCCATGCATCATACCCGCTTTCACCTGTGACCCATTTCGCTATTAGCCTCAGCACAGCATAAGTAGAGTAAATTGCCTGAAAACACAAAACCAGAGCTACAATTCTGTAAATGACTGAATCCTGGAGGAGGCTGGTGCCTGCTTGCTGATGGGGTGACTGACGGTTCCCCTCCATTTGTCCACGTAATGAAGAGCTGACTTTATTGCACATACGTTTTCAAATAGTTAAATGCCGGTAGCTTGAGAAATTCCATCAACCTGCAAGGAGTTTTGGCCACTGGCACCATTCTGCCAGCCGTTGCCGCCTTTACGGACGGCGGTCACGCAGCCTCGGACGACGCCGAGCCCGGTGGCCTGGAGGAGGAGCTGCACTCGGCTGGGTGGCCAGACGCTGACCCGGTTTCCCTTCCCTGTTCCCAGACAGGGGCCTTCCCTGGGCTCCTTCCCCAGGGGGTGGGGGCTTGCAGGGGGGCCGAGGGGCAAGCTCAGAAATGCAGCAAAAACCATTTCCCATTTGGGACAAATGAATTGAAGACCATCCTAAGATTCAGAATGTGGAGAATTCACTGAAATTCCCTAAAACTGCAGTGTAATGGGAAGGGGCAGAGATCTTTCCCATGGATCGCTGGCAAGTTCTGTGCAGCCTCCCTCACGGTCGTGGAAGGAGCCAGGAGGTGAGCCAGGCGTTCTGTGTCCTTCGTTACGCCCTCCATCGTCTCCTCCTCCCCAAGCTCTCGAGGACGATGGGATGTGTTTCACAAGAGGAAGTTCAGAGAAAATCATAAAAATAATAAGTCTTGCCTGACGGTGGTTTCTCCCCGGACTCGGCTTGGAAAATGCCCCAACATGTTGCTTATGCTTCCTTGTTTTCAAATGTACGTATACATTCGTGTCACGGTCGGTCCCTCACAGGCACAGTGGTGCTGGGCTCAAAGTCGCCAGCCACGCTGCCCCAGGGTGTCTCCAGTCACAGCCCAGGGACCTAACAATCAGCGTGCACATGGAGAGGAGAATATGACTTTCACGTTTTCAAGCATTCACTAGGACAGGATCGCCTTCAACTTGTATAACCTTGAATGCTGGGCTAAGGGCGCAGTGCATAGTCGTCAAGGCCTTCCACACGGTCTTTCCCGCTGTGCTCACCGGGCCGGATTTCTGTTCTCTTGCTTTGGGAGTGCATGGATCTCTGTACAAAAGAAAATTATTTGTAGGAGCTATCCAGAAAAGAGACGATATTTGTTTTATACAATTAGTGATTCTCTATGACTAACATACGACAAATTAGCATTGCTGATGTTTAGAAAGATGTGTTAGATTTTTTAAAATGTGTTGATTTGCTCTGTGGGCTAACAAAAATTGTTATTGATATATTGGTGCCCAGACCTCTTTTACCAACCAAAGTCTTTTCTGAGGGAACAGCACGAAATCCATAAAGGAGGCCCCGGGGACACCCTGACTCTGCTGTTAGCAAACAGGTACTTTCTCGTAATCAAGACGCCTCATTTCCTCAGCACAGGGATAAACTTGAACACTTCTTCTTGGTTTTTTGAATCAAAGAAACAGAAAGCAGATGTGAAAGTGGCGTGGAGGTGACTAAATCCAGTCTAGGGGGCCAGGGGAGGGGACTCTTTAGAAGCCATACATACCATTACAGATATTCGCAGTGTTCCTGGTAGCGTTTATGAGAAAGATGAGTGCCCTGAACGTTCCTCTAGTGTGAAACAGGATACATTTCTGGGGTTTTATTACGTGGTCTTCTTTCAGCAAATTTTCCTAAATGCATTTTTGTGACTGGACATAATGCTTGTTCATACATCATTTCTAGCAACTCACCCAAGTTCTCCTGAGGCTGGGAGGCACGCCAACACAGGGGTGCACTGGCCACATTAAATGCCACGTCGTACGGGCCCTGGTTGCACCAACTGACCTCAGTCCTGCATTTTTTGGGCTTCTGGTCACCGCACACTCTTCTCCCCCTCTCCCTCAATCCTGCTGAGACAGGCATGCGGGAACCACAGTGAATTAGATTTAGCTTCTAAACTTTTACACGCGTTCCGGTTGCCTTAGCGCCTATCATAATGAATTGTCTATAAGGTAGAAAGTTCAAAATAGCTTAATTCAATCCAAACATGTGCTTCCAATCCTGAACGCCCAGCGTAGGTGGTGTCGCTGCGTGAGCCCGGGGCCTTGCGATGCGCTGCCTGAGCGCCACCGCGAAAACAAACCATTTAAAAGCAATTGCTGTGAACATCTGTTTAAGAGTTGGTAACGAGCAAAGTTCATGAACTCTTAGAAAGCCTGGTAATATGATGAGTGTAATTATCATGCATCTGTTTGGGCTGTAAATAAATTAAGTGGATAAAAAATAACAGTCACTCGTAAAATTTAGAAAGAAAAATTAATATTTTAAAATTACATTTACCGCATATACTGGTTTATCTTAAGAATAATTAAGGAAATCGATAGCTTCTAGCAAGTTTCTAGCTTCCTATGGCCCCTGGTTTTAGAGCAGTCCGCTCCCTTTGGACCACAACGCCCACTGAGCCGCGCGCGGGACCTTAGTTTCCGGTGTGCAGTGAACAGGGTTGGACATGCCATTGACTTGCTTTCCATGCTGTTGCAACGAAACTTCCAGTTCTAGCCATTTTTTCCTTTTCTTTTCTTTTTTGTCCTTTTTCTTTTTATTTTCTTTGCAGAAGACCATCAAATGAACTGTCACAATACTCGAATAATGCAAGACGCAGAAAAGGATGATAACAATAATGATGAGTATGATAACTATGATGAGCTGGTGGCCAAGTCCTTGTTGAACCTCGGCAAGATTGCCGAGGACGCAGCCTATCGGGCCAGGACCGAGTCGGAGATGAACAGCAACACGTCCACCAGCCTGGACGATGGCAGCGACAGGAACGAGACGCTGGGCCGGAAGAGCGAGCTGAGCCTGGACCTGGACAGTGACGTGGTGCGGGAGACAGTGGACTCGCTGAAGCTGCTGGCGCAGGGGCACGGTGTGGTGCTCGCGGACAGCCTGGGCGACAGGGGGTACGCAGACTCGCTGTCACAGCAAGACAGCAGGAACATGAACTACGTGATGCTGGGAAAGCCCATGAACAACGGGCTCGTGGACAAGATGGTGGAGGAGAGCGACGAGGAGGTGTGTCTGAGCAGCCTGGAGTGCCTGAGGAATCAGTGCTTCGATCTGGCCCGGAAACTGAGCGAGACAAACCCGCAGGACAGGAGCCAGCCCCCCAACATGAACAGCCGCCAGCACGCCCGCCAGGACGACGACTTCGCGGGGAGGACGCCAGACAGGAGCTACTCCGACATGATGAACCTCATGAGGCTCGAGGAGCAGCTGAGTCCCAGGTCTAGAACTTTCTCCAGCTGTGCAAAGGAGGACGGGTATCACGAACGAGATGACGACACCACCTCCGTGAACTCGGACAGGTCTGAGGAGGTGTTTGACATGACCAAGGGGAACCTGACCCTCCTGGAGAAAGCCATTGCTCTGGAGACAGAGAGGGCGAAGGCCATGAGGGAAAAGATGGCGATGGAGGCCGGAAGGCGGGACACTGTGCGCTCCTATGAAGAGCAGTCGCCAAGACAGCTTCCCGGGGAGGAGAGAAAGCCTAAGTCCAGTGACAGCCATGTCAAAAAGCCATACTATGGTAAAGGTAATATTTCTACCTAACGTAAGTTGCCTCGCGCAAGCAGGAGCTAGGGGAAGAGGTGCCGGGATAGCCCGCAAGCGAAGTGCGCACCACCCTGAGTCCCGTCCCCAGTGCAGATTTCTCAGAGTTGGTTACACAAGTCTATTTTGTGGCTGTGTTGCTGGACAGCAAATAAAACATTTGTCTGGGAAATACACAAAGCAGCTCAATGTCCTATTATCAGAGCAGACGAGTAACATGATATTTCAGCGGGAGACGCCTGCCTCGGAAAGACAGGGCTAGCGCACATGCCCATCCTGTGATAGAAACCACTAGCGTGAGCCTGTGTTCTTACAAAGGAGCCAGCATCTATGTGGAGAGGCCAGGGTGTACACAACAAGTAGCCAATCAGGGATGAAGCACGTATTTTATACACTGGATTGGGCAGGTGGCATCATGATTTATAAAATTATCATCAGATGACAGTTATTGATGAATGCCCCCCCATAGAAAACGTCCCTGATAGAAATTGAACAGTAACAGAATGACCGATAACGTAAGACAAGGGCAGTGACTGCACATTAATTATCTTAAGATAGTAAGTAACGAGAGCCATTTGCTATGCAAAGCATGGTGTGTCCTAAGCTGTGATCAATAGTGATTTCTTTAGTATATTCATTCCCGCTCACTGATTCCATCCCATTGTGGAAACAGTTGTGGCGCTTACTTTATTATAAAACACTCAAAAAACCACCCAGTGCAATAGTTTTAATAGATTTTCACTTAGGAAATTTAAGGGCACGCATCTGCATATATCTGTGTATTTAATCACTCACGTGTATAGTCACTATAGCTACTAAGAACATGAAAACACACTGAGTGTATGATTGACTTCACGTTTGCAATAACAACCGTGTCCACTTGTGATACGAGGTGGGTCATGATTTAACCTCGTGTAGAACCTTGACACTGTGGCTGTTTCAGTTACAAGATTCTCTCAGAACTAAGTAAGAAGCAATTTCAAGAAGGAAATTGGTAATTCTTTAAATCGTTTCATATTAAGACCAAACACAGAGCTTTTGGATTTGATTGTATTCCTTATAAAGACTGAGTTTCCCCACCGTGGATCTGGTGGCGAGGTTCAGGGATCTGGTTTGAAAATCGAACAATCAGAAAGCCTGTTTCTTCCGCTGTGACATAGGTGTGTATTCTCCTCTCAATGTGCGCCCAGGGCTCCACAGCATCACTGCGACCACAGCCTGGCAGGGGCCACACCTTAGCCAGAGGCCCGGGGGGTCCTTGCTTTGGCAGGTGCTGGAGCGCTGACCACCATCTCCCGGTGATGAAGGGAGGCCCTTGGGAGGCGTGGAATATGAGGAAGGGGCTGTTTCTTAAAGGCGACAGGCTCTATAGCTCAGCGCAGCCTCAGGCTGGCATTGGTGCCGTGGAGACTATGAAACAGCCCACGTTCATGACCATAGTGCGAGCTAGCAGAACCTTTTAGTTGGATATTTGAGAGGCATAGAGCAACTAAACATTTTTAGAAAGGAAGAGTTCCTCTCTCACAGGGCGGTTCAGTGGGGCAAATGCACTCTGGGCTTACATGTTAGATGTTCACAGAGTGGGCTTCACGGCGGAGCGGGCAGCTAGGCACGCGACAGTGTACTGTGGGAGCATGCAGGGTCACGGGGCAGCGCACGTCACATGTCCCCTGGCTTCTCTGGGTCCCTTACAGCCAGCAGCTTCCTATAGATTCTTGCTCATTCTGCTTTGTTATTGTTATTTTGTTTTATTTTGATTTTTGCAAGAAATGGAATTCAAACCGCTTGCTTCCCTTCAATAAATGGGGCAGGGGTGGGAAGGAAGAGTAAAACCTGAGATGTGCTTCCCCCTGAAATGGGGGAAGGGTTGGGGTCTGGACCTTCCAAAAGAGTCAGAAATCATTGATTCCTGACTCGACCAGTTTCTCTAGATTTCTTTCTCCAAGCAAAGCTCATCACTTCCACGTGTGTTCTTCTTCGTTCCCGGGCCTCTCCTCAAGATGTCTGTAGATATGTTCAGAACCAAATCAATGAAGCCAAGCAAGGACCCCCACGTGGGGCCAGGAGATTCATGCCCTCCTTACCAAAACAATCAGTTATGTGACACGTTACCAACATAGCAGTGGACTCTACCTACAACCACACAGCATATCAACAGTCTTCATTGTAGCTTCTTTGTTATGGTATCAATTCTCCCTTCTACACAATCTTCTCAAAATGATTTAAGTTATAAATGAGTGACCCTTCCAAAATCTTGAGCTAAAACAAAAGAAGTGCAGAATGAAACTCTTCTATCTTTCTTCTCCTCAAGCATCCACTCGAAAGGGAGGAAGGGGAGCAAGCTAAACCCAGCGCACGATTGTTTTTTCTAGACATCCTTGCAGGTTTTTGGTTGAATTATTGGTCTGTTTGCTTGCTTGGTTGTTTTGTGTTTGCCTGGATGTTTACCTCCCAGATGAACTGAGATTCCCAGAAATCAGCATGCTGGGGGGGAGGCGATGGGGGAGGTGATGGTGGAGGCAAGCAGCATCGAGAGGAGAGTATACCCTGTGTCCTCCAAAACTGAAATTGTTTGAGCCACTTGTTTTTATACAGAGCTGCACTTACAGAACACTTTGGAAACCCATGAAATCATAGGACTTGTTAGGAAATTGTAAGAGTACTAATGAAGAAGAGTCACTTGATGATGAATGATAGTTAAAATTTCGGTGTTGACCTTTTAGATGCTATTTATATTTAGCTTATGATCTTAAATGATGAGTATTTTCCTCTGAAACTGTTACTATTTTATGTTTACATTAATTAAATTATGCTAATATTATTACGACATGACCCAAAAGGCAATAAACTGCCAGGTTCTTTGATTGCATGTGTAAGGGAAGCTGCAGTAAGATATTGAGAAACAGAAGCCACGGCAACATGATTTCAGGTTGTTTTTGGGAACTGTGATCTTCAACACCCATAGGAAGTGGCTGACAGTTGCGTGCTGCACGTAGGCCCATCGATAACAGCACTAGTTTAGGCATCCGAGACCTGAATGATGTGTTACCTAGATTAAAACGCAAGCTTAAAAAGAAAGGGGGGTGAGTTTTTATACAAACATTAAAGGGTTTCTGTAGTCCTGTGAGTCCTCTGTCCATTTCAAGTGCACATGAACGACTTAAGACGAAAGTCCACCAGATTTCAAAAAGCTTGAACCAAAAATATATTTTCTAGCTGTCACAATTGGCCTGGTTAATGGGCCACGGACAGAAAAGGGTTACAGCCCTGAAGAAACACTAACCACACACCCCCTGGGCCAAAACACCACAGTCACTCTCTATTGACAATCTGTGCAGCTGGTTTTCAAAAACTGACTCAAAAAGCATTTTTCGCACCCTTCTATTACTATTTGGTCTGAGCTTTATCTTAGAAATATCTTCTGGAGCTATCTTCTGCACGTTGATGAACTGTGGTCGATTCTGGATAGAGAAATAACGTTAGTAATGATAGCATTGCACTTCTGGCATCTGGCATTCAAGTTTTGACCAAAGGTCTGCCCTGCGCCTCCCTCGGCGGGTGCTGCAGAGGGCCGACAGGGCTGTACAGAACCACCCCCCCAACTGCGTGCACGCATGCCCGGCATCGTAAGATCCTTCCTCTGGTTCCAAGGACAGATGAAGAAATCAAAAGAAACGGTTGCTCCAGCAGCTTCTGAAACATTTTTTATTGCCCATCACCCTCCTCCCCCCACCCCCACCCCCCCCCCGTCAGGTGGGGTTTCCGCCATTTTGGTCATTTGCTTACAGTGCCTTCTAAGAGTTCAGCTTCTTTTCAGACAAGCCTCTGATTGGTGTGCCATGGAACTGGTCACAAGATAAAAAAGAATTCCAATACCAGTACAATTGTGCACCTAATAGTGTACACGATTAGAGCACCCGCCGAGACGGAAACTGCACTGCCCGGTGGTTTCCGCCATCATGCTCCCTGGTCGCATTTCACAGAGCGATTGTCGAGGGTCGCCGTGTGGTTCTGTTCTCTGAGAAGGTCACTGTCTCATCGGTATTTATGTTGATTTCTCTGAGCAACACAGCTTATCATGTAACACACGGGAAAGCAATTAATCAGGAGCGAAGGAAGGGAGAGTCTTTCTTTGTCTCATAGAAAGTAAATTATTTTATGATTCATGATTACACTGTTTCAGGTCAAAAAAAATCACCCAAAACCACAGAGCTACCTACGCAAAAGTTGATATCACAGCCTGTCCCCTGACACCTGCTTTTTTCTTTATTTATCAAGGTCTCTTCAGGTTGTTAATTAATCACATTTGTCTTCAATGGGTAAAGAAATTCATTCTCTTGACACCTGTTGTCGCTTTTAGATCCCTCGAGAGCAGAAAAGAAAGAGAGCAAGTGTCCCACCCCGGGGTGTGACGGAACTGGCCACGTAACCGGGCTTTACCCACATCACCGCAGTTTGTCCGGATGCCCGCACAAAGATAGGGTCCCTCCGGAAAGTAAGTCCGTGTTTCGCCAACGCCCGTGGGAGCGCACCCCCGGGGCTCTGTTTGTGTCACCCCGCGTGCCTCTGTCATTTCCATCTCAGTGCGGCGCAACCTTGTCTCCCCGGCCCCTCCCTGTGTTGACCGGCCGCTCGGCCAGGACCCGCGGCCCCGCCAAGGCCCAGCGTGTCACTCCTGCTACCCGGCCCAGGACGGCGGCTCACCAGCGGGGGCTCCCCTCCACTTCCATTTCTGACTCACTCAGGACCTGGGGCAAGTCGCTTCGCCCCCCCGTCTCTCAGAGATCATAGCAGTGGACTGAGATGGTCTCTAAGACCGCCTCCCCCCCCACCCCCCGCAGTGCTAAGCTCCCAGGAGACCCCGAGAAAAAGGTCCCGGAGCCTCTTTTTGCCCAATTACCTAGGCTTCTGTATAAACGAGCCCGTATTTGTGTTTGTATCTGACTGCATTTTGCTTGTACAGAGTCCATCTCGCGTCACAGCTGCCCCCACTTTTCCACACAACAAAACCTTAAATACAGAGCCTTAGATCGGGTGGGTCTAGATCTTACACATTCTTTTTAAATACTTAGGTTCTGAAAGTGTGCAATTTCTCTATGAAGACAACTAAATTTAATTTGCGACCGAAATGATGTACACCTTTTCTGTTTGTCTTCCTCTCAGCATATAAAGTATGCCAGCTCTTTAAATACAATTAGAATCGATTGCTTAGGGGAAAAGGCACATTTTCAGAAATGACAACATGAGTTTAAGATCCCGATTTTGAGCCTGAGGTAGGTTAAGGATTTTCCTCATTAACTGAGACACAGTTTCTGGCAGGGAGATGAAATAGCTTGGCCAACACACGTCAGGATGACCAGGTGACTGTTCAGAGAATTTTTTGAGGGTTGTCCCATTAAAATGGCTTATTTTGGAATTCTCAAGACGCAAATCTGTCAGAACAAAGAGAAACTCATGGTCGTTGAGGCTTAGAAAACAGGTTTGGCGGAATATTTTCAGAAGAAATCTTTTTGGGAACCGCTGTGCTTCCGATTCTCTAACGGCTCCTGAAAGTAGGAAGCCCATGTTCCGTGTAGCTGCCGCGTGAGCAGACCTGAGGGTACGGAAACGAAGGAACTCGAGTGCATGGCCGTGCCCGTGTGTTACATGAGCAGGGGACAGCATGGTCTGACCACACCAGCTTCCTGTCCGAGCGCTGTCCGCGCCGGCCTCTCCGCGCACACCAGCCTCCCTGCCTCCCTCACCCCCTGCGAGCCCCGCGGGGCGGCGCCGGCCCTGATTCGCAGATGAGGAAAGTGGGCAGCAGATGCCCTCGCCCTGTCTTCCCAGGGACTAGCATGGCGTCTGGCGAACGGTGAAGACACTGCACGTCTTCAGCCCGGTCCGCGCAGGTGCGGGCTCCCCTGAGCAGGGAGCAGAGCTGAGGGGACACCCCACCCGTCAGAACCCCCAGCTTGTGTTTCCGCTGAGGCCTGGCTTTGCTGCCCCGCCCCGGTCCCGACCAGCCGAGACTCCGGGCCAGCCGCGGGCCGGCCCCACGGGGACCTCACTGAGGTCTCAGGGACAGGCAGCCTCTGGCTGTAGCTGTTCTTGAAGGCACACGTTTTCACCTCGGAAGTAGAAAATCAGTTCCCTTCGTGGCTGAGAAAGTCCCCACACTAGTCATTTTCACGGGACGAGCCTACATGTGACAGAGATGGGGGCTGTGGTCTGACCGGCTGTGTGGGGTGCGTGCGCCCCCAGACCACGGGTCAGCCCGCACCTGGGACCCCCACGCCCGGGAGGAGGCCGGAGGCCCCTCGACACCAGCCTCACAAGCGCCTTCCAGAGCATCTGTAGAAAGCGGTTTCTAAATACTTATATATAGTTCTTTGTAGAATCATGAAAACTTTAAAACTATTAGACTCCTCAAAGGGCATGTCTTGCTTTTTAGCTTTTAGATGCTTTTTTCCAGTTTTTTCTTGGCGAGGCTCCCCAATCACCCTTTCAGCCCAGTGGAAGGCAGAGTGTGCCGCACCCCAGTCTGTAGCACGCTGTGCTAGACACCCGAGGACACACCGCTCGTGGGGCACGACTGGCCCCCGCGGCCATGCGCTCAAGGCGGACGCTGACTCACACTGAGGCATCAGGCTTCCTGAGGGCCCCGCAGGCTTCACCGGGGTCACACTTGAGCGGGTCCTGAGGGGGAGAGAAGGGGTCCACGGCTTGTCTGGAGGCTGCTGGGGTCCACGCAGGAGACAGTGGCCAGGAAGGGAAAATCTGGGACGAGTTCAAGATGCACTACAGACACAGGCTGGCGTGCGGGAGGAGAGAGGGAGGGGATGGAGGTGACGCCGAGAATTCCCGCCTGGCGGACGTAAGGACGCGGACTCCAGGAACAGATGTGACTCTGCCCCAGGGGGAACGCTGGCTGGGGTTTTCCAGCTTCCCCGGAAGTGCCACAGGCTGCCGGCAGGGGGCCCGGGGCAGGGAGGGGCAGGGAGCAGGCGGCTCTGGGGATCCGTTTCCCCAGCTGTGCTGCCTGAAACCCGCAATGAAATTGCCCGGAGAGGAGACACAAAGCGAGAATGGACAGGAGCCAAAATCGGGAGGTTGGGACGTGCATGTGTGGAACGTGGAGCCGAGGAAGAGGGCACAGAAGCAGCCAGGAGAGCATGGTTGTTCCAGAAAGATCCACATGGGCGGGGAGGCCTGACCCGGGGTCACCAGGCTTGAGCAAAGCCTGGGGCTGACACCTGAGAGAGGGTGGTGGGGAAGAGGGGGAGCCGTGGGGGCAGCACAAGTCTGAGGACCATGGGGGCTCTGGGGGTTGGGGGCACGGGGGGGAGGGGGAAGGGGGCGGGGGGGCAGGAGCACAGGAGGGGGCGGGGGGCGGACAGAACAGGGGTGGGGCGGGGGGGCAGCAGGAGCCCCGGATCCCAGGACAGGAACGGTGGGGGGCAGAGGGGGCAGCAGAGGGCGGCTGGGGAGGCCCCAGGCTGCATGCGTGGGCAGGACGAGCCGCAGCCCAGCACCGAGGGGTTTGCGTCTGCAGGAGGCCTGACTGTGGAAAGCGGATTAACACACAGGGAAGAGGGCGTTGGTCGGAGAGGAAAGCTGCGTCCCGGGAAGATCCACCTGGTGTTGTAACAGGAAGACGGAGAGTCCAGAGTTGAGGCCCTTGGGGGGATGGAGGCCTGGGATGGGGGAGTGCAGGCCTGGGGCAGGGGAGGGGTGTAGAAAGAAGCCTGGGGTTGGGAAGGGGGCGCCTATGTTGGGAGACGGGGTGGGGGGGCGGGGTGAGGGGGCCAGGGGCTCCCACTCCTCAGAGACCCGCAGGTGAGGGTGTGCAAAGGGGCAGGAGGGAGCCCCCGTGCTCAGAGGACACGGTGTGGGAGGGTACAGGCGAGGGGGGTGCCGGGGGCTCTGGCCAGCTCCCCAACACACGGGAGCCTAAGGCTGACGCGCCCTTGTCAGGTCAGCGCTTACAGAGCCCAGGCTGGACGTCCGGATGACGCAGGAGCCAAAAAACCGTAAAGAGGAGACCAAAATACTCCCTTTTTAAGGAACTGGCCAGGAGTGAGGAGGCGACCCGTGGACCCCAGGGAGGACACACTCTGTGGGAAGAGCAGGGAGGGGAGGATCGTTCTAGAGAAAGAGGAAAGTCGCAGGAAACACAGAAGTAGTTTGGGCAGACGTCCGATCACGGGTAACCAGTCCTTGCCGCCTCGCGGTGGACGGCTGTGCGGGGGCGGGTGCTGCAGCTCAGTCGGCACCGAACACCCCCTCCAGCCTCCCCAGAGTAGCTGCTCACGGACAACCAGACAGAGGATGACGTGCAAACTGTTGGGGCCTGTTCCCAACACGTGCAAACTCAAACGCTGCCTCCCAGCAACAGGCTGCTTGGCTCCAGGTGCTTCCGAACCACGTCCTGCCATGTCCTCGTGCTGACTGCACTTCCTATTCTGGCTCATTTCATTGGAAGAATAACAAAATACTTGATTCTCAGATGAAAATTCATTATTTAATTCATTTTATTTAAAAATCAGGTGTGGATTTCTCTGTTCACCCATGACCACCGCGCCTTCTTAATGCCATGTGTTTCCAGAGTGTGTGGGCATGCCTTACCAGTCGCCGGTCCACGTGCTGGTGCGTGGCTAACCCATGTTCAGTGCTGACATGCGGGGGATGTAGGGAGGCTCTGCTTCCCTGCCCCATCGGAACATTCCCGACCCCCTCCGCCCCCGCCCAGTGCTCCCTGCTTTGCATGCCAACTACACTAAGGTTGAGAGAAACTTCTTCTTCTTCCCACATGTGTTTCCCGGCCATGCCCATCACAAGTGTGTAGGACTGTCCATCGTGAACTAACCGAGCTTTGTTAAAATGACTGCATACTCTTGTATCCGGACCATTTCTGTGTTTTAATGCTGGGCTGTCTTCTCTGCCTCTTCCTTGTCAAGTTCTTGCCATGCATGAGAATGTTCTCAAGTGTCCTACTCCGGGCTGCACAGGGCGAGGGCATGTAAATAGCAACAGGAACTCGCACAGAAGGTAAGCAAAGTGCCCTGCGCCCCACGCTGCGGGGCAGGCGGCTCCCGACGCCGCTTCCCCATCCCTCGGGGGGGAATGCGCCCTGCACCCCTCTCCCTCCTGCCCCGGGAGACGGGTCACTCTCTGGGAGCGGAGGGTACTGGCGCATGGTGCATGGGGAAGCAAACCCAGAGAACCGTTTTCGCAGCGTGGATTTCTTTACTTGTTCCACTCACTCGTCCTGAGTGCTCTGGAAGGCGCCCCCCTCGGTGTGATGGACGGACCCACGGCCGTCTGTAGGGAACACTCAGCGACCCTCCAGGGCTGGGGGGAAGCTCTCCTCCGTGCACCGTAGGGGGAAGGGTTCCAGCGCGCCAACACTGGGTGGTCGGTGACCTGACCAAGTTGCCCCTGAGCGCTGCCGAAGCCCCATCGTCGGTGTGGATGCCACCAGAATACTCGCAGGTGTCCAAGAGCACTAGGTGGGGAGCATTTGGCATGACCGTGAGCCAGCTACGTGGGCACACTCGGAATCACACTTTTGCTCTGACAAATTCCAATTCCCTTTCCTCCCCTGTTCTGACTTTTACCAAGTTGTTCACAATACTCAGATCGTATCGAATCCTTCTTTATGAACCGCAGAGTGATTCCGTTAAGATCTGTCTCATGGCCTATACTTTCAGCTTCAAAAGTAATGTAAAATTACACCTAAATGGAGAAAACGGTTGTGAGTTTCACTTAACCTCCGCTTGCCTGACTGGTAAATGTGGTCACTTGTGTGAAGCTTATAATGAAACAAACCACAACCCTGTGCTCCTCAGGCTTGGTCGGACAAAGAAAGGGATGATCAGTCGGTTGGTAAGGTTCACGCTGAGCGCTGTTCAGTACAGTGTTTACAGCATCAGCTCCCTCCTCAAGCCTCGGCACGGTCGTGTGTTCCTGAGACATGACGCGCACATGGGGTGAGCATCTGCACGGATGTGTAGGTACATATACAGACACATGAAGAATAGACACCCTGAGTTCATGAAGAATAAGCCCAAACACAAGAGAGCCAATCTGCCGTCTCTTCCGTAAACATTTAGTTCCAAAACAACCCTTCACAGTGGTCCTTCCCGATGCCATTTGCGTCCCCCGGGGAGGACGTGAACACGCTGGTGCATGACAAGCCAGAGCTTTGCGGTCAGTGGCGCTCATGGGGTCAGCCGAGAGCTCGCCTTCTGGGGCCAGACGGCTAGATCCTCGTCTCCAGAAACATCCCAGAGTGGAGTCTGTGTCTGAAATTTCAGCTTGCTCCTGTACTCTTGAATGACACGGAACCTGGCCTGCTGTCACTGGGAAGGGTTGAGCGCACTTTGTGCACGGCCTGGCCAGCAGCACTGCCCTCCGGAGCCCAGGAGGACACGGTGCCAAGTGCCGCCTCTACCCCATCCCGTCGGGAAGTCCCACGGCAGATCCGGGAACCTGCACTGGCACCTTCTCGCGCCGACCAGGGGACAGGCTGGCGGTGGTGATGGGGTCAGTGTGCTGTGAAGCCGGTGGAGGAGACCATTAAATCCCTTTCTGTCCTTACAGCCTCTCTGGGTGCCCTATCGCTGCAGCCGAGAAACTGGCAAAGGCCCAGGAGAAGCACCAGAGCTGTGACGTGTCCAAGTCCAACCAGGCCTCAGACCGAGTGCTAAGGTACAAGATGCCAGCGCGTCGTCTCCTGAGGCCCGTGTGAGCCCCGCACGCCGGGGCATGGGGGTCCGGGCGAGGTGGACAGGCTCACGCAGTGGCAGGCGTGCACCGTCACCGGTGTGGGTAACGGGCTGAGCCCCTGGCCCACCCCTTGCCCACGGGGGCTACGTGGGGGCAGGGGGTCACTTCAGTGTCCTGGTCTCCGCCCACCTGCTGTAAGTGGACAGAGCTGTCTCTGCATTTCTTTCTGGCCTTGAAAGTATTTTGTGATTCTGTGAACGTTAGGGGGGGTGGGGGGGGGGATCTGCACGTTAATGAGACGGATGCCTGAAACGATTTTACCTTAATGTGGAGGAGAGGGCGTAAGAGCAGCCTGGCGCCCCCTCACGGTGGGTGCGGAAGCTGTTCTCAGCACGGGCCACCTCAGGGGGCTTCTATCCTCAGACACCTGACGATTGAGAACCCCGAGCCGGACGACCGAGTGACTTGCCTGAACCCACCTGGTCACTGATGGTCCCAGTAGGAAGACCTCACAGATCCCCTGATCCCACCACTGTTTTCCTTTTTCACTTTTAATGTTTAATGTATTTTGAGAGAGAGAGAAAAAAAAAAAAAACACAAGCAGGGGAGGGGCAGAGAGAAAGGGAGAGAGAAGATCCCAAGCAGGCTCTGTGCTGACAGCAGGGAGCCCGATGCGGGTCTTGATCTCACAAACTGAGACCATGACCTGAGCCAGAGTCTGACGTTCACCCGACTGAGCCACCGGGCGCCCCACCCGCTGTTCTCTTACGTTTAGGAAAGGGAGGGGGGGGAACCTTCATCCCAGACAAACCCGCTGTCAGCTCATCTCTGCCTGCTCCCTGCACTCCCCGGGCCGCCGGGCCCTCGCCAGGTATTCCGACTCTTCAGTGGCCATGGCATGCGCACACACACACACGCATGCGCACGCACACACACGTGCACACACAAGTTTTGCTTCTGTTCAATTATTTCTTTGGGATAAATCACCTGGAAGAAATTGCTATTCAAATGGCCTGAGCACCTGCCTGGTTGTGCTCTGTTACTCAGCGCGTTCTGAAGGGGTTTTACACAGCAGTTAAATACCCTTTAGTCCCTCAGTAGGAAAGCTAATATCTTTATGGAAAATGAGAAATACTTAAATAGGCAAAAATAATAAAAAATCACTTACAATCCTACTATTTAGAGGCAAGCCCTCCATAAACGTCGGGGTGCGCCCTTCCAGAAGTCTCCGTGTGCACCCCGTGTGCCTGCAGCCCCCGCTTCCCAGACAGTAAGGCAGACGGGGTGAATGGCCGCCCCTCGGGCCCCATCTGTCTGAGAAGGGTGCTTATTGCCCGAGAAAACTGAGAGCAGCAGGGACGAACCGAAGCTGAGGGCTGCTGTCCATTTCCGTTGCCTCCTTTGGGAAGACCCCCGGGCTAGAAAGAACCACAGGCCACGTCTCGTGAGACTCCCCCATCCCCTCATCTCCCCCACACACACATCATTCCCCAGAGAAGTTTCCGGGGCTGGCGACGGACCAGAAGCATCCCAGACTGCAAACATCGCCTCGTGCAGACACTAGTCTCCATTCTGATGTGGTGCCCAAAGCACCAGCCTTTACGTGGTCTCCGTGGCTTCCTACCCAAGGGCCCCTTTGTACAGACCGATGCCACGGAAAACACCGCAGATGGTAATGGGACAGACGGCTGTGGGCCAGTGATGATGCACCTGCACGCCTTCTTCACTCTCAATGGCACACTCTGCCAGCTCTTGGAAGGCGAGCCCAAGGGTTTTACTCATTTATGCACCTCCACGTGTTACCTGGTAAAGGGCCTCAAATAATAGGCATTCAATGAATCTCCACATTCTTTTGTTAATTTGACAGGAAGAGGCCGAATTAACGAAACCAAAATAAATGTGTTGATGATCTGGTAAAATAAAGATAACTAGCGTGAGGGGGGCTGAGTGAAGAGTGAAAGGAATCCTCCGCACAGCTTGCCTGTAAGTCACACAAGTGCACACACAGCACACAGAGCACATGCATAGTGCATGCACAGAACACACACACGCACATGATGCACAGTACACACATGCAGCACACGCACAGCACACACACACAGCACGCACACACAGAGCACATGCACACGCAGCACACTCACACACAGCACACGCACAGCACAAGGCAGAAGATTAATGGACGCATGTAACCGAGTGCTCCTCCGTTTAAAGACTTTACTCCCGAGGCTGGAGAGCTGAATGACCACCCAGTGAATACGGGAGGCACAGGCCAGTGTTTGTCAAAACATATTACACGTCCCGTTTTAATGTCCATTTGGTGTCAGCCTGGGTCCCTAAGGGTGTGTCTCTAATTTCCGCTTACTCTTTTAAGGGAAATGTCTGCTTAGCTCACTCCTCTGTTGTAACTCTTACTCTCTGAGCCACTGGAAGGCAGGCCTGGATGTGAGGCCTTTCCCGGGTCCATCAAGCCGGCTAGGCCCTGAGAGAGAAACAAGGGGACAGTTAGATGCCTCGTCTTTCTCTCTACTGTGCACGTTGAAAGCTGGGCAGGCAGCCTGTTCAGTGCGGTGTAATCGCGGCGCCGCGGTCTGAGCCGTGCGCCCTCGGCCGGACGTGAGCCGCGTGCTCCCTGCAGCCGCGAGAAAGTCAACTACGATTGTTTCTTGTTTGCCTGCAGGCCAATGTGCTTTGTAAAGCAGCTCGAGATCCCACACTACGGCTACAGAAACAACGTGCCCACGACCACGCCTCGCTCCAACCTGGCCAAAGAGCTGGAGAAATATTCCAAGACCTCGTTTGAGTACAACAGTTACGACAGCCATACTTACGGCAAGCGGGCCATAGCCCCCAAGGTGCAAACCAGGGATATATCCCCCAAAGGATATGATGGTAGGAGGTGCACACTCTTATACATGAGAGTCACGCTTGCCTTAATAATGTTGTTGTTGTGTCTATCCATTTCCTGCAAACTGGTCAAGCATGCGGTCGCTTGGGCACCAAAGAAAAGCATGCCCGCCCGGGGCACCTGAGCTCGCAGGTGTGGGCGAGCAGGAGCCGTGAGGGAGGGAGACAGCCGCCCTTCCTTCCCGCGGGGTTGCCACGGCAGCTTGGAGTTCGGGCCGCTTTCAGAATGTGGCGAGAGCCAGCCTCTGGCTCATTTGCATCCGCCGCTGCCCACACAGCGTCCTTACCCTCATGAACTTCCTCTAGCCAATGGCCCCGACACAGAGGAGCCTAGGAAGGCCAGAAGCAACCCCCAGAATTCTTGGCCACTTTAAGAAACTGCATCCCCTCCGTGTTCTCAACCTTGGATGCACCTTAGATTCACCTGGGGGGATTTTAAAATTTCTCATGCCCAGGACACGCCCCAGACCCATGAGATTGGAACCTGGGGGCGCTGTCTGTGTGGCAACACTTTCTAAGTTACTGGTGATTCCAGGGTGTATCCAAGAGCACCCAGTGTCTACTGGTGCCACCCAGCCTCTTCCCATGGCGAGTGGGGCCAGGCAGGGCTGCCTGTCGTGACCCAGCTGCCAGGCGTCCACCAGGAACAAAGCGTAGGTAGAACAAATGAAATACCACCTGCTTCCCAGGAGGCGGTGGTTCACTTCCCCTCGTGGGTTCTGGGCCCCCTGCCGGGCCGTGCACTTGTTGCCTTCGGTTGCCCGCGCTAGCGTGGTAAGTCGTTGAGCGAGAGAGGGACCCCTGCATTTCTCTGATACCACATATTTATCTAACCACATTTCTGCTTCGAACTCTAGGATATATGGACTGAGTTGGCAAATGTTTCTGACTAGGATGTGGGGTTTAGGAGTTTTGATGACTTATAAGTGTTATCGTGGTGTCTGCAGCAGAGGCAAGGAGATGAGCCTTGAAAGATCTTTTAACTCCTCTCTGAAAAAGATCTTTAATTAAAATCACAGCACACAAAAAAATTCATTTAAATTGGACGCTTGGGGAGTTCCAAAACCTCTTTACAATTCAGTGATAGTCCTTCTTTGCCTTAATAACAATTAATATGCATAGTGAATGAAATTTAGCATTTCCTAGACGTGTCTCATGTTGATTATCCTTGTGCGTATCAATTCTTTGCATAGAGGAACAAAAATGTAGGAATGTAGGTGGAGACAAGGGAATGTCTTAGGGTATCACAGAAAATATTTATTTTCCTTTTGTTTATTTTGTCCTAATGACTTGCCAATTTCTGGTTTGTTATAATTTTATCCATGTGATTGCAAATGAAAGATCAAAAAATCTTGAACCCACATCATCAGGGCTCTGCTTATACGATTTCTGATTCAGTAACATCTCATGGTGACTGGAGAAGGAGTTCTTCCGGAAGCCTCTCTTCCCGCTCCTGTTTGTCACACCTGTTGTTACGTGTGGCCTGATTTCCTTAACCTCATAGTTTTCGTTGCACCTTGGGTCAGGTCGTGACCAGTAGAGCACATTTTTGTGGATTAAAAGTCAAACCTACTTGGGTGTATTCTCAGCTGTTCCGTGTAGGAGCCGCGTGGTGTGGAGCAGATAATCTTCCCGGGTGTTAGTTTCCCCAAGAGCATGGTGGTAGTGACGCCTCCACCCTGTGGGCCCCCAAAGCTGTCGTGAGGACCGGCTGACAGCCCTAAGGAGCTGGACAGACATTTGATGGTGGGCATTGGTTCCCACCTACCCTGAAAACACCTGTTTTGGAAACCAGGGCTGAGCCACACTCTTCAGCTGGCCCCCAAGGAAACAAGAACACAGAACAAAAACTTTAATATTAGGTCTTTAAGAAATGAAAAAGGAAAAAGAAAAGAAAAAAAAAACGAAGGAAAAGCAGTCTTTTACCACAATTTACTGAGAAGAACCTCGGTGACTCCATTTTTTCTTACACTAGGTTCATCTGACAGACTTATAAAACATCAAAGAAAGTGCCCATTAAGGATGAGAGCCATCCCTGAACCCGGGCTCCAGGCAGCAGACACCACAGAGCGACTGTAGCCTGTGGTCCCTCAGGAGTGCCCTCCCCGGGACTTCCTGCAGGCGCAGAGAATTGATTCATTGCTTCTGAAGAACAATCGCGAAATGAGCCTGTTGTGAGGAGAAGCAGAATGGGAGGGAGGAAGGGTTAGGGCCATGGAGATGCCAAACAGGAAAGAAGAGTAGAGCCTTTCTCCCAAGTGTCTGGACATCATGGCTTAGGTCCCACCACCTGGGGTCAAAGACACTCAACACACATTGATTTAATTGCCTGCATTCTTCCAGACACTGGCTTGTTGCTGTCTGTCTTTCTGTCTGCCTACCCATCCATCCATCCATGCATCAGTCTCTTCATCCACCCATCCATCCATGCATCCATCCATCCATGCATCCATTTGTCCATTCACCTATCCATCCACCCATCCATCCACGCATCTGTCTATCATGTATCATCTGTCTATCTCTTCTTTCCCTCTGGATGACAAGTTTCAAGGAAGGGCTTGGGAACAAATGGAAGGCAGTGAACACACACTCATGCAGACAATGAAGCAAGGAATCCATTCTGGAGAAATTAGCCTGAGCTTTATCGAGGTGGCAAACCTTACTCTCGATCATGATCTTGAGTAGAAATTACACAAAAACAGAAGCCCCATGGGCTGGTAGGAATGGCCAGTGGCCTGGCCAGGTGTCTGAGAGCAGGAACAGGCAGCTGTGGGGGGGAGGACCTGGCTGTGTGTCACCCACCATGCCGAGGAGCTGGGCACTCCCTCTCGTGGGACGTGAGCGTCTATGTGCAGCGTATTCAGGACGGAAGGTGGGAGAGAACACGGGGCTCCTGCACCTGTGTGTCGGCCCTGCCTCCTCCCACGAGCAGCGGGCGGCATCTCCCCCTTCCTGTTTGTTACAGGGAGCTAGAAATGGCTCTAATAGGTTTAAATTGTTGGGGGAGGGAAGAATCTGTGACACGTAAAATTACGTGAAATTCAGATTTCAGTGTTCATAGGTAGAGCTGCATGGGCCCCTGGCCACCCGCAGCCGTTTGACAGGACCGCTTTCGCACAACGGCAGAGCAGAGCCCTTCCGCCAGAGATCACGGGGCCCGCAAAACCCAGACTCCTGTCCAGGACTGTACGGAAACAGCGGCCAGCCCGGCGCTGGGACACCCCCACTTGTGTCCCCGGGCAGTTTGTCCCGGCCCCAAGCTCTGTCCAAACCTGCAGTTGCCGGAGCCCCGTGGGTTCCTCTCACGAGCCCCCTTTGCTGTTGCTGCTAACTTCTAAGTCCTCCGGGCTGAGCACTTAGTGATCGGCTTTGAACTTTCTCTTTGCTCCTCAGACTCGGCACTGCTCCAACGTGCTCAACACCCATCTTCCACCCATCTTTCACCCCTGCCCGGGCCTCTGCTGGCCACGGCTCTCAGAGCTGCTCAGGCGGCCGTCTGGGGTGAATCCTCCGGGCCTCCTCGCCGCAGCCCCCAGCCAGCTCTCCCTGGAGGACCCCCCTCCCCGCACCTGGTGGTGGGCTGCCCCGTGGCCCAGCTGTTCCCAGGGCCTCTAGGGCTCTCAGTGCTTTGACTCGACTCGGCCAGCACTAATCAGCCCTCCGCCCAACTTCACGAGGTCGCTTGTGCAGAACCAGACACCCGCCCTCAGCCCACATGCAGCTCAGGCCCCCACTCTTGGCAGTCAGGGCAAATAGCTGGTCTTCTCACTGGACCATAAGCTCCTGTCCCCAGATTCAAACCACACAGTGCTGGTGCTGGCCTGGCAGACTGCATGAGTGAGCGGGAGCATGGAGAGTCTGAACTGGGATGTGATACTTTAAGTCATGTGAGCAAATGATGGGCAGACCCGATCTGACGGACTCTCCCCGGAAATCCTTTCCACATACCGTCTCCCTCTGTCTCAGTGCACTGGGGACAACGCACACCTACGTGGACGGCATGAGAGCCAGCGCCATGAATCAGGGCACTCGGACGCCGGGACCCAAGCAGCCGGCTTCCAGCCCGTGGGCGAACCCGCTAGGGGCAAATGTCTGCACTATGCTCTTTTTTTTAACATGTTTTAATGTTTTATTTATTTTTGAGATAGAGATAGAGACAATGAGCAGGAGAGGGTCAGAGAGAGAGAGAGACAGAATCTGAAACAGGCTCCAGGTTCTGAGCTGTCAGCACAGAGCCCGACACGGGGTTCAAACCCACAAACTGTGAGATCATGACCTGAGCCGAAGTCGGACGCTCAACCAACTGAGCCCCCCGGGCGCCCCTGCACTATGCTCTTCATGTCTGGTTTCTGTAAGGACCCTCTGATCTGTTCCCTTATGTGAATACAGCAGCAGGTGGGCATTTCCAGGGGAAGGAGGCACGCACTTAGCACAGGGTCAGAAGAAGGCTCTGGTTGGAACCTGGTTGTTTTATTTTCCAACTGGTCGTATTTAATCAGCAGAAACCCCGTCGAGTCTTTCTTTGTCCTGGAGAGGGGGCCAGGGTCCTTGAAGAGGGGCTCTCAGCGCGGCATGGGGCCTGGCAGGCTGTGCTGTTGCCGCACACGGTGGTGGCACTCTCGTGGGCAGGCGTGACCTCCAGTGACAGGCCGGCACTCAGAGGGACAGTGACAGGTTCTGTCTGCCGACTGACTGGGAGCGGAGTGCGTTTGGTTGTGGGCAGTGACACCGGCCTTGCGAGCGTCCTACAAATAGGCGGGAAGCAGGAGCCACGTCACCCGAAAGACTTGGAGTCCACACTCTTATTTTCCCTTTGAATGAAACGAGGAAGGAGAGATTACGTTGAGTAAGAGGATGCACAGGAGGTGGATCCCGCCCTGCGTCGGGCCCCTCGGCAGACCGCCGCCCCCCACCCCACTCCCGGGGCAGTCAGCGGCTAGGATCCTGCCGGGGCCCGGAGGAGCAGAATTCAAGACTCCGTTTGCTGGGGTAGATGCCCTTTACCAAAAGTTTGCTGCCATTTGCCGTGTAGACGCGCGTCCTGCTTACCTTCTGTTAGAAATGAAATCTGTTCACTTCACCACAGAGTGGTCTTTCCTCTGACGTATGTGCACCACATTTCTTTCCTGAGCCAGTGGCTAACCCTCACTAGGGACAAGAATCCTCAGAAGTACTACTTCATTTTTCCCACAATGTTTATATTTTTAGTTTTATTTATTTTTGAGAGAGTGTGAGCAGAGGAGGGGAAGAGAGAGAGGGAGACATAGAATCCCAAGCAGGCCCCACCCTGAGAGCAGGGAGCCCGACACGGGGCTCGAACTCACGACCCGTGAGATCATGACCTGCGCTGAATTCGGATGCTCAACCGACTGAGCCACCCAGGAGCCCTGATATTCCTATTTTTATATCAAAATTGAAAATAGCGTAAAACCACGGACCGGCCCAGGCGGCGTGTGCCCCAAGCTGCCGTCTCCTGTGGCTGCCCGCGCCCGCGCTGCAGGTCTGAGCGGCGTTCTCTCCAGGAAGAGTCTCTGTCGCGTGTCCCTGCGTTGCTGCCTCAGCCCCCAGACCACTGCCACCCGCTGTGCCTTCTGCTGCTCAGGCAAGGTGCCCTCGCAGAAGAACGAGGGAGGATGGTCATGCCCCAGACACACCAACAGGTGTGCTCACGAGTCCTGGTGGAGGCAGAGCCGGCCCACGTTCACTCCTCGTGCTGGGGTCTGAGTGTGTGCCGTCCCTCTGGCCCACACAGGGGACCCGGCTTCAAATGGCCACCTCCTGTGCAGCGGCCCTGCGACCCCTGCTGGGGGCTGGGGGGAGGCCTGGTGGCCCTCTCTCCCCAGGGCCAGCACTGCCCCGCGACCCGGGAGCAGCCTTCGGTCCAAGGTCGGAAGCTCTCCACCATGAGGGCTTCTCTCCCCTGTCACTCGGACCTGAGGGAGGTGCTCTGGGCACTCTCGCGCCGTTGCTCACCGTGACCAACTGTGCTGGCGGGGGCGGGGGCCCGTTGTTCACATCCGCCGGGTTTGCCCTCCCCTGGGAGGAAAGCACTGCGTGACCTCTGAGGAGGGGCTCGAGTTAGGACCGTGGTGCCGGTGCCGGACGCGCCGGGCCAGTGGGCGGAGCTGCAAACAGGGGAGAGCCGCTGGCTGACGGAGGGAAGGGCGCGGTGCAGGAGATGACGGGGGGTCTCCTGTGCCCCCATGTCACCCTGGGGACCCCCTCAGTGCAGAGCCCCAGGGGAGACCTGACAGCATCCAGGTGGACAGACAGCCGGTGGCTTTGCTGCCCTTGGCAATGGCCGCAGGGCCCAAATAAATAACCGGCACTCGTTTTCCCACCCACGTGCCAGAGATTTCCAAACAGCAACGAAAGCGACACTTGCTCCCGGGTGGCTGTGCTGTGTGGGTGACGTGGGCTGTTCCCCAGGGCATCCTGGGAGCCAGGCTCCACGTGGGTGACAGGAGGCCAACCATATAAGGAGGCTGGATGGCGTGGGGCATGCACGTGGCCACTCTGCCCTGCTCACAACCAGCCCTTCGTGCCAGTGGGGTGTGCCGGCCTCTCCCCCTTGACACTGCTGGCTCCTCCACGTGGCTCTAGTAGAATCACAGGATGAGGCTCTGGAGGAAAGGAGTGTTTGGGTCCCTCACGCTCAGCCGGACGGCCACCCCCCAAAGCACTGGCCCCTGAGAGGCTGTGCCAGTTGCACACAAGACAGCGAGCCGCAGGTGGCCGCTGCGGCCCCTCCCGGATGGAAGGAGCGGCCAGTCTCTGCAGCCGTGAGGCCTGTGGGGTCCCGGCGGCCCGCTGAGCTGAGAGGAGGTCGTGGCCGGGAGACCCCTCCTCCAGCCTGGCAGCCGGGGCTGCCGGTCACTCCCTGACATCAGGGAGCCAGTCCTAACCAGGTGTCTCCTTTAAGTGAGTTGGGTGGTAGCCACCGCCACGTGTGGCCTGCCAGAGAGACGCTGCTCTGCAGCCACCAGCTCCCCAGGGTCAGAGGGGAAGGCCAGATGGGCTTTTCCCCACCAGTCAGCTGTGGGCCCCCGCTGCCCACCCCACTCGCCGCTGACGTGCGTGCCCCGGGCTGGCGGGAGGACGGCGGTGCGGGTGGCGGGGCGCCGGGCCCCGCTCTGCCGTCACCCCTGCGGCGGGGACCCAAGTCATCCCTGTCCCCGTGTCTCCCCAGCGAAGCGGTACTGCAAGAACGCCAGCCCGAGCAGCAGCACCACCAGCAGCTACGCGCCCAGCAGCAGCAGCAACCTGAGCTGCGGGGGCGGCAGCAGCGCCAGCAGCACGTGCAGCAAGAGCAGCTTCGACTACGCGCACGACATGGAGGCGGCGCACATGGCCGCCACGGCCATCCTCAACCTGTCCACGCGCTGCCGCGAGATGCCACAGAACCTGTCCACCAAGCCACAGGACCTGTGCGCCGCGCGGGTACGCCCCCCGGGGGGCCGCTGCCGGGCCTGGGGGGGGCGCGGCCTGGGATCCTGCCCCCCAGAGCCCGCGTCCCCAGCACCGCTTCCCGTGCAGACGCCCCCCCCCCCCCACAAAACGGGCCACCTAGCTGAGCTCCAGACATTGCTTTGCTGGGAGCGGCTTTAATCGCCCACCGTCCCAGGACAACCACGGGGCACGTGCAGGCCTGTTTAGAGTAAGACGTGTGCATGGACTGCCCTTAGGACCCAGGGGGGTTTCTAGAAAAAGGACACCTAGTGCCCTCACGTAGCTTCAACAGCCACAGGGGGAGTAAGAAACGAAAGTGGCCGCGTGCCTGGAACCCTGAACACCAGGAGGGTGGGGTCACCCGCTCTCGAATCACGCCCAGGACTGCCCCTTTCCTTCCAGTGGGTCACTCAGGGAACCAGGAAAGTAGAATTCCGGTCTCTGCTAGGACTGCCACGCATCGCGGCCGCTGTCGTTAGTGCAGGGACTTCTTCTGCCAGGTTTTGTCACCTTGCTCACGGGGCAGGACCATTGCTCAGGCCCGGGCCACTCTGTCACCTGGTGTCCCATGCGAGGGCTGCCCGGCCGTGCACCGTGAGCGCACAGACCTGACGGTAGTTGTTACAAGTACTTGTAATGTGTAAGAATGGAGACAGGCCAGCAATTTCATGTTTTGCAAATGCTTTCCTTACTATTAGTATTTTTATTCCATGATTCTAGAGAGGCGTCAGGGGCATGCAGTTTCCGCAGTGATCAGGGCTGCTAAAATTCAAGGCTAGCATGGAGAGCTTCCATGGCAAGGGGGGAGGGAGGCAGGAAGACAGCCACCCCTTCCGATTTTTTCCACTTTATTAAAGCTAAGACTGAGAGGACTCACTCCAACATTATGAAGGCTAAATTAGCATGACAGCTGGAAACCCAGAGTGCTCACTGGCAGGAAGAGCTCAGGCAGAATCCCGCGCTGTGATTTGTCACAGTAACAGCCTGGATGGGCCGCCTTTCCCAGCCCTCGCTGCTCCGTCCGGAGGAAAGAGCTGCTCGACACTGGGGTAGCAGCAGCCTGCCCGCCAGCTCTGGAATCCGATTTTTGCTCAAGAGAATGTAACTCTCCGGGAACAGAAGTGGAGGGTCGTTGGCAGTATTTCCCGCTCTGTCCCCTGTGGCCTCCCTTGCCGCCCTCCTCGTGAGAGGCGAGGTCTGAAGCCTTCTTCATCTTTCAAAACAACATTAAAAAAAAAAACTCACCACGTACCTCTTTATGTTTTAAGACCATTGTCTGCATTTGCGGGTTTGCCGAAACGCAGAGTAGGTCAGACTGGAGCCACTGGACTGGAGGCCCTCTGAACTGTGGCGGCACACCTCCCTCCCTTAAGGTGGAAAATGCTGTTCATCGCAGCATTTCATGTCAGAAAGTAAATTCTGGCTCCTTCTCCCTCACCCTCCACGCCTCTAACTGGTCTGTTCTCCTCTTCCCATCTTGAAGTATTCGCATCATGAAACTGAAGGAGAATTTTTAAGTGTGAACACACATCTATCTCTGATCTCTTTGAGCTGGAATGGAGAGGAGATTAGGCATGATTTTCTTCCGGGGAGGCGTATTTCTGAAAGCAGAGATGTACTGCAGAAAAAAGAAAAGAAACATAGACAAATAAATCAGAGATAGCTGGATAGATTACGGGTGATCGATAGGCAAATCGATGCGCGCAGCTGCCATCCACTGCAGCGGCTAAGTGCGGGACGGCAGACCCGTCCCCGGGCGCCTGTCGCCCACCCGGGGGGCCCACACGCGGGGACCACAGGAGGAACCCGCGTCGGGATTCTGCACTGGCTGAAGGCAGGGCTGCGGCTGGCGGAGCGCGTGCTCACCATGTCCCTGTGTCCAGCAGAACCCTGATGTGGAGGTGGACGAGAACGGGACCCTGGACCTCAGCATGAACAAGCCGCGGCCGCGGGAGAGCTGCTGCCCGGTCCTGACGCCCCTGGAGCCCATGTCCCCCCAGCAGCAGGCGGTGATGGGCGGCCGGTGTTTCCAGCTGGGCGAGGATGACTCCTGGGAGCTGCCCGTGGACTACACCAAGATGAAGGCCCGCAGGGCAGACGGGGGCGATGGCAGCGAGGCCCCTGTACGTCCCCCTCACCTGCCCGCCGGCTCGGGGTGCGGGGTGGGGCGTCAGCGGGCACCCCTGGGCTGACCTCTGCTGCTGGGGCTGACCACACACTTCGCGGACCGGGGAGAAATTTGTCACTAGCACTGATTCGGTGAAACAAACCACAGGTTCTTTTCAAGCATGAATTTTATTTTCCAACGATTTAGTTACAGATGATTTCTCTAAGAAAACACGTAAACAGGGGCCCATCCAGTCCATGAGACTTGTCGCTATAATCCATGATTTTCCTTACAGATAGAGATTTGTAATGAGCATTAAGTACTTAAATGGTTAACTAGGTGCTATTAATTAGCAAGCTCTTTGAAGCTAAGGATAGTGCCTGTTCTGATAAAATATTCAGAAGAGTGTACTCCAGCCCTAAAAAATCATTTTAGGATAATCACCTAAATCTTCATTGACTACAGTATTACCAAAACAGCCGTGTCAGGAACACACTTCTGGAGTACTGGGACCGGAAATGTCAGCTTTCCTATGCGAACTTTCCAAAGCCAAATGGCACAGAGTGCAGAAGCGGTTACCGGTCATTTATATAGAATATATTCTCAGCATTCCCAGACCCCGAAAATAACCTCTCAGGCTTTTCTGAGCCTGAGGACACACTTTGCGAATGGGTGCACAGAGAGGCTGACAGGAAGCCCGGGTGCTCACTGGCACAGGTCGGGGCCCTGGAGCTGGGTGCTAGATGCTGAGCGTGCCCTCGGGGGCAGGTGCCCGGCCAGGCCGCCTGCGCAGCTCGGTGCTCACTGCCACTCTGACAGCTCTCTGCAAAGCCAGCACTGAACGCCATTGCGCTTCTTGCCTCTTTTCAAAGAAGCGAAAATCCTCTTTGGTTTCTGTCCCATTAGCAAAAGCAGCACTAACATAGGTCTCTCATGGGAGCATAGCAGTGTGACTCAGGCTTTCGCCAAGTGGCTTTCGCCAACAATGTTCACGTTCCAGTTCCTAAAATCATGAAAATATCCTTTAGGCGAAGAAAAGAAACAGAGAAAAGGTTGTTCTTTATTGTCCTGGCTTCTTCTCCAGTGCTCAGTTCTGAAATTATGACATCTTCTTTATTCACTGAAAAATGAAAATCTTTTTTGAATACAATAGGGAGACCACCATCAAAGCAATATCTTCTTAGAGAAACAAGGAAGTGCAGGAAAAAAGAGAACATTAGTTATTTGTAAGATTTGGCAGGAAAGGCACCTGGTTATAAGGCCATTACATCTTAAAGCCTATTATCTTTACTCTTCAAATTGATTAAGGTATCCACGCGTTGCAAAAGAATAGAATCTGAGTGGCAAGCTAAATTCCAAAGTATTCTCTTCTCTCCTACAGTGTTAAATCATTACTACCAAATAAGGCATGATGGTTGAGTCTCTGAATTTATTTCAATTAAAACTAAGCCCTCATAAACCGACAGAAGTGTTTTCATCACACAGTCCATCCCAGAAGTAAAAAGTACACCCCATCATTCAGGAGACATGTTTGCTGAGTACTGCCATCTATAGGAATGTCTTAGTTACTGCGATTGGATCCGCTTAGCCAGAAAGAGACCCTTTCTGTTGAAAAAGAAAATGTCGCATAAGAATAATTGAGACCTACATTAATCCCAGGTGGTCTTCCCTCGCGCTGGGACTTAACGCACACACACAGAATGCTCACCAATGGCCAGAATAAGTCTCATTCTAAAATACGTGTAGGGTTAGTGTTTAAGCTCAGCGCGTCAGTGTTGGAAACGGGGACGGGACAGCAACAGGTGCTTGTTGGGCATTGAAGAGAAAGGCCAACTAAGAAATAGAGTCTCTGGTCTCTAAGCCACGAATCTGTCTCTCTTACTAGTGCCCCAACAGAAATATCGAGTAAGCCCCGCCCCCTGACGGGTGACTGTGAAGTTCAGAGCCATGGACGAGCAGTTACGGCCCCACTCAGAAAGATATGGTCTTTGAACAGAGCCCAGTTCCGCACTTGCAGCAGGGGCCTCATCGGGACAAAGGGAACGACTCTAAAGGGACAGTGTTGGAAGAGGAGGAAAGCGCAGAGGCGGCCGGGCCCCTAGGGGACGCGTCTGTGGTCTGTGCGTTAGGCTGACCGGTCGTCTGCGCAGCCCTGAAGCTGTGTTTTGCCCGCAGCCGGAAGACTTGGACCCATTCCAGGAGGCTCTGGAGGAGAGAAGGTACCCGGGAGAGGTGACCATCCCCAGCCCCAAGCCCAAGTACCCCCAGTGCAAGGAGAGCAAAAAGGACTTAATAACGTAAGCATAACTCCAGGTGAAATGCCTGTCTTCCTAACTGTCCCTTTCTTTGGCTTATTTTTAAAAACCGATCTGTACCTGCCTTGCCGTTTGAGCATGCGACGTTCGCAGCATATAAATGTCTCAAACTGCCGGTTCAGTGGAGCGAGAAGCCGCGTGGCTTGCTTGTTCCCAGGACGCTCTGTGTGGCGGGACGCTGTCTGCCGTTTGGTCCGTGCGTTTTTGCAGCTTCCCTCAGGGCGCTTAAATCCCCTCACAGACATTGCAGCTAAACTGGAAACAATGAAACTTTCTTAAAGTTTTTCTTTTTTTTAAACCTACTTACTATTTTGGCTGTTTTTGTTTTTGTTTGGTGGCAGATGTCCAACACCAAGGTGTGATGGGAGTGGTCATGTGACTGGTAATTACGCCTCACATAGAAGGTGTGCCTTCATTTTTTCTCATGGTGGATTCTGTCTTTTCAATTTATTGTTTTCAGCTTACCTCAACAATGCTGTCAAAGTAAAAACGTCGAATTACGTGTCAACCCTCTAAGTGCTCTATGTTGACCTACAAAATCGTGCCAGCTAAAGTACCTCAATTTGGAAAATTCCTTACAAACATTTAAACCAAAGAGTGCAAATACTTCTCTATTATTTTTCAAAAGTTGCTTATTAACAGACCTGTTTTCTTCCGTGAATCTGTAACATAGGCCAAGTCGATTCTACAAAAAAAAAAAAAAAAAAAAAAAAAATTCAATATACAGCACTTGCCCCATCGCTTTTCTGCATTAAACTTTTTAGTTTCAACTTTATGTTGTGTTTGTCCGGGAGCGTAAGCTGCGGGAGCCGCCACTCACCTGACTCTCTGGCCTGTCTTACAGTCTGTCCGGCTGCCCCCTCGCTGACAAAAGCATTCGAAGCATGCTGGCTACCAGCTCACAAGAACTCAAGTAAGATTTACTGAAAATCGTTTTTTTAAAAATCGGTTCACCTAGTCGTAACGAAATGGATGTGTCACGTGTAAAGAAAAGCGCCTTTAAGAAAACTCACCTGTGCAAGCAGGGCCTCAACAGCACGCACGAGCGGGTCCTCGGGGTTTTGGTCCCCTTTCCGGACAGTCTGTCTGCCTCTTCCTTCTCATTTGCCTCCAGCTCTTTCATGCCATAGCCTTTTTATCCTGAATTTTCTAGGGCATAAGTAGTTGCTCTCCTGATATGCATGCACAGGGAAAGGAAGTTTGACAGAGGTACTCAAACTTTTAGGAAATGGTCATAACCTAAAAAATGAAAAATAGATTTTTTTAGAAGTCAGTAGTTAATATGATTATTTAAAACGCGGGCATTTAAACAGCACTGATGACAAGAGCTCACCACGACAGTAGCCAAGTCCCTAAGTAGGCTGTGGTCACCGTTCGAAGGCTCTAGGACAGCATCAGCTCACTGATGGGCCCAGCCGGGCACTCACCAGCGCTCAGACACAATGCTTGCAGCCGTCTCCTCCCCCTCCCCCCTGCACCTATGACTCTTTCTGTATTTTAGGCATAAATCTGATCACTTACATTTATTTCCCCAGACTAAGGTCCTTCTTCTTTGTACGTACAGAGCCACACTCAGTTCCTACACGAGTCTTGGAAGGGGTCAGTACAAGTCATAGAAAGTGGGTGAGAGTCTCCAGCATTCTACTCAGAGGAGACACAAGGTGTGTGTCAGGGAAGAAGGGTGACTGAAAGGAGTTTCACAACATAATGAGAACCAAGAGTCCAAAATAATTATTTTTTCACTGCCTGCCATGTTACAAATATCATCGTGTCAAATTGCTTGGCTTCTATTTTGTTTGGAAACTGCTTTATCACCAATGTAGAGAAAATGCTCCTTCCAGGCCCTAATTGACTCCTTTTCCAAGGACTCCGCCCGACACCTGTCCCGCTGCGCTAGACCAGGGCCGTCTCGGAGGGTAGGGCTCTGTTTCACATCGTGTCGTTTTTTACAGGATCCCCGTCCAAGGCCCTAGCGCCATAGATCACCTGCTCATGTTCAGTGACCTCCTGAACTAGCCCTTCCGTCACAAGACTCTTGGCGTTTTCTTCATGGCGTGTTAACACCTGGAGGGGATCCTCTTACTTAACGGCTTTAAAGTCTGTAGTGTCATCCACGCAGTGCCTAATGGACAAATAGCTTTTAGAACCTCAGAATGGACAGACTTAGCAAGAACAGCTCAACCCACTTTGTTAAGACATCCTTTTTCATGGCTTAACACCACACTTCCCTCATGATCAAAACGTGACTAACTGCACGTGGAACGTGGCCAACACATCAGACCATGGCAACTTCCCTTTGAATTTCTTGATGAGGAATGCTTTGCAAAAGTTTGGCGTATATCCAGCTACCGCAGGCCAGCCATAAACAAGAAATAGCCTTTGCACAACTTGTATCTAAGACTGCTTCTAAGTGGTTCGTGTCTCAACACCCCCAGAGGCCAGAGTAGTTTGCTGAGGGGTCTAGGTACCATTGGTGTTCATCCCTTGACTTGGGGCTTAGCTTACGCCGCCCTGAAGCTCCGAGCACAGCGGCCACTCCTCTGGCGTCCACACTGTCTTCTTCTCTTCTTTCATCTCAGAAGGTGGGGTGAGGTCCTCGCCATCCGCATCTTCGGAGGCAGGTGGTCCGCCCTTCCCGTCCTCCAGGGCAGTGCTACGTGGTCCGTTCCTTCCACCTGCCTGTGCCTGGATGACAGACCTGATCTTCAGGAAGTGATGGCCTTTTCCTATTTGTGGTTCATCTGAAAGCCACGCTCATTTGTCAGCTTGTCTTTGCAATAACTAAATGCCATTTTGAGCCATCCTTACTGGGAAATCTAAACTTGACCAGTTTTCTAAAATGGCCCCTTTTTATTGGTGGATCTTCAAAACTACAGGTTCTGATTAAACGTCTGCTATAAAAACTCCAATATTCCAACGACTGGTTTTTACTTGATGATAAGTCTTCCCCGACTGAGGAAACTATAGATTACAGTACCTGTTGTCTTGTAACCTCTTATTTGATGGTACCCTTCCGTTCATTACCCTTAGTCTGAGTCACGAGGGCGTTTTTTGCTGGCTTTTCCCTGCCTAGGAGCATAGCTTGATCCCTTACAGATCTACAGCGGCTTTCTCTAGAATAATTCACGCATTTGGCCCTCTCGGTAGATTACATACATCTTCAAATCTCCAGAAAGTTTGGTCAGTCTGTGCTGCTGCAGCCACTTACCTGACAGAGTGAGATCACACCATTCACTGTAGGTGCACAATTCTACTTCTTCATAGAGACCTTAGAGAGGAGATCCCAGTAACCTCCAAAAAATTCTCTAGCGTGGAACTTTCTGGAAATGTTCCTCTTGTCACACTTGACGCTGAATTTTGATTGTTGACCATTAACAGGACACTCCTGATCATGGAACGATGAGTTGTGCCAGATAAACTCTTGGTCTTGGATCCTCAAGCGTCTTAAACTTCCTGAGATAACACTTTGCTCCGATCTTATCCAGGGCAACACATTTGGGATATTCTTTAAAAGAAGTGGATAATTTGATGTCAGATTTTGTGCAACGTGTAAACTGCAAATGTATTAAAATGTCACGTATGCGTGAATGCCATTCGCACTCTTCAAGTGCTGCTGGTCCTGGCCCCTGGCCCTTGCAGGGTAGACAACACAGTGCAGGGGCCCAGGGGGGAGGCAGGGGGCGGCCCCAGGAAGCGCGCATGCCACGTGTGCACACTTTTGGGTCGATGTGTCATGTGTCACACACACGTCCTGTGAACCTGCCCCACGGGCCGTGACACTCGCTGGGGCCCCAGGCCGAAAGTAGAGGGGGAGGGTAGAATTGTTCAAATCAAAGAGACGTTTTGGTGAGGACTCCGCCTAACGCGAGCTCTCATTCTGAAGGGAAGTCCCTTCTCTGAAGATTTCACGGCTCAGAGGACCCGAAGGGAGCAGCGGGGAAGAGCTGCAAGTGGCCTCGCGTCGCCGTCCGCCTCTTTTCTGCCAAGCGCGTCCTCCCGCCGGGCGCCGTCCACTTCCAGATGCGCGATCACTGTAGACACGGGCGGCATGTAGGTGCCGTAGCCGTCTGAGCCTCCAATTCAAGCCAAATCAAAACCGATTTCAATCAGAGCCAATTAGCTCTAAAAACGGGCTCTCAAATCGCTTCCATTTATACTTTGGCCAAATTTAGCTACCTCGTTGTTATTTGGATCTTTCTCTCAGCAGCCCCGGTTCCTGCTGCTCGTGAGCTCGATGGGAGAGGGGCTCGTAGGGGCCGCGGACCCATCTTTCTCAGTGCTTAAGATTCGGGCTCAGCACCTCCGGGTGGGGGCCTGCGTTTTCTGTCGTCTCTGGGCGTCTATCCTAGGTACCTGAGGCACAGAGGAATTGCTACTACATATGCCACAATTTATTTAAATCAAAGAATTAAAAGTTTGAATGTGGGCCACAATATTATTCTGCTTTAGAAACTGCTTGTTTCTTGGGGCGCCTGGGTGGCTTAGTCGGTTAAGCGTCCGACTTTCGCTTCGGTCATGATCTCGCGGTTCGTGGGTTCGAGCCCCGCATCGGGCTCTGTGCTGACTGCCAGCTCAGAGCCTGGAGCCTGTTTCAGTCTGTGACTCCTTCTCTCTCTGACCCTCCCCTGCTCACGCTGTCTTTCTCTCCTGGAAATAAATAAAACATTAAAAAAAAATAAAAAAAAAAAAAAAGAAACTGCTTGTTTCTAGAATTTGCTAGGGCTGATTTTTCAGGCAGCAGGAGGATTATTTACTGGGATCTGACACAGGCGGCTCACCCTGCCACTTCTGTTGTCCAGTGTGCACACTCACTGCACACCAGCTCCGAGCTTCCTCAGTTCCGTGAGGCTTATCTCCACGGCTTACGACAGGAGACACACAGGGCTTGGGGGGTTGCAGGCGCCCTCCTCACGGGCCTGGCTCCTCCCACGGAGGGGCAGACAGCGCTCTGGGAGTCCAGCTTCCCGGTGGCTGCAGGGATGGGCAGGGCTGTGACCGCTGGGGCGTAGCAGGCTCTCAGGAGCGTCCGCCTACAAGGGTGCAGCTGATGGGGACGCGCGTCCCACCCCAGGGTGCCTGACAGCTCACGGCGGGCCTCTGCCACACTGCCCGAGAGGAGCGCTGGAGGGGTTCGGCCCATTCTCTGGGTGTAGATGCTGAGGGATGTGTCTTGGCAGCTAGGCCTAGGCCTATGGGCTGTAAGGGACAGTGACAGTGCTCAGATGAGTGGGTTTTCCACAGGGCACGGCCTCTCCTCAGATCAGGGGGGGTGCAGTGGGAGTGGAAGGCTCCATCCCACAGGCAGCCACACATGCACGCAACCGCTCCCCCTGCCGGGCCGCGCTGCAGACCAGCCAGGACCGGTGACCTGCTGCATGCTCACCTAGCTGGGGATGTGTGTGCACACGGGCACACTGAGCTGGGGCAGTGTCTGGGGCATGCGTGCACCCAGCTGGGGAGGTGTCCCGGGCATGCGTGCGCCCGGCTCAGGTTTTGTCCTGGGCACCCACACCGCTCCCCCTGCCAAACGTCCCTCGGTCCTCAGGGTGCAACAACTGTACGAGGTCTAAGACGTCCGCTCCCCAGCAGGTTCTCAAAATTCCATAAGACACTTGCTTTGTTGCACATAGATTCTTTATTTTATCACAAGTAGGACTGATATTTAAAATAAGTTAATATAAGAATTATAGGTAAGCACTACAGCAAACCTAAAATGAGAATATTTGAGGATGACTCAAGGCATACACAAGCACACACACACAGGTGAACACACACAGATGAACATGCAGATGAACACCCACATAGATGTGCACATGGATGAACACAGATGTGCACACAGATAAACACGCATATGTACACATGGGGGAACACACGGATGTGCACGCAGATGGACACACATATGTACATGAGTGG